CCCCCCCCCCCCCCCCCCCCCCCCCCCCCCCCCCCCCCCCGCCCCCCCCCCCCCGCCCCGCGCCGCCCCCCAATTCTGCCGCTCATCGACCCCCGTCCTTTACTACTTCAGAGAGACTTCGCCAGTCGAACGAGTATCCTGCCAAAGACCGGTCACGAGTGAAAAATTGACCTATACTTTTTATTTCAGATTCGGATTCTACTATCAAAACTGGGGTTATGAAAAATAAAAATAAAACTTTCTGACTTATTTGGCTGAGTTATAGAATTTACAAAATGAGCACCATCGTCGATTTGCGAAAAGTAGACATCTCTGATATTTTGACTATAACTTCGCCATTTTTTATCCGTTCTGTTCGAGCAACATCTTATTCGAAAGCCTGATAAAAAGTAAACAAAATCAGATAGTTCCTAATTTTTCTGAAGCAGGAAGTGAGTGTTTAAAACCGACATCAATTGGAGAATTGGGATTTTGAAGGGTCAAAATTTTCGAGAAAATGCCACCTTCGGCCCTCCAAACAGAATTTAGTTAAAAATTCGAAGATCACATGCGACAGCGAATTCAGTTTTCCACAAACTGAGCGCAAAAACTGTGTTTTAAAAGTGGTGCAAAAGTTTTAAAACTTGAAAACAAGATGGCCGACTAACCACGAGTTTTCAGTTTTTTGAGATTTTAGTCATCGAAACTTCACTTAAAAGCAAAAGTAATGTGATATTTGAAATCAGCGTCAAAAACTGCATCAGTTGATGTGCCTTTGAAATCTTTTAGAAAAATGAAAAATTTTGTCAAAATTTGCTCGGAAGCCGAACATAAAAAATCGAAAAATTGACAAACTTTTTCATATCTCTAAAAGGTTTTAAAGGCACATCATCTGATGCAGTTTAACACAGCATTTTCAGCACAGTTGCAACACAGCATGCCGTGCGCACTAGTAGTGCCGGCCTTTTCCCAGTGCTGTACTGGGATTTTTCTGTAGGAGAGTCGATCATGTTTTTCATAAGAATCTTACAAGATTCGTATCAGATTCTTACAAGAATCTTATAAGAATAACGTACGAGTTTTGCTGACTCTTACCAATTTCATTAGAATTCTTGTAAGAGTCTTATGATCGATAGAGAAATGTGTGAAGAATAGTTACTACGAGAACATATGTAAAAATTTTTGTTCTTTCCTTCCTGTTAGTGACTAATTAACACTAATTAAGGTTAATTTAGCCTACTCTACTAGCTTCCAGTCCCATTTGCAAAATAAGGACTCAATAAAAGAATTTAAGCTATACCTCATCTGATAGAGAATTTCACGAGCTACAAGACAGGCTAGCTTAAGAGTTTTAGAATCCAATTCATTCATTAGAACTTTTTTATAACAGTCCCGTGCTCAAAAGTTTAACAATATTTTTTTAAGTAATTAATTTGTTTCTCAGCCAGACAATGTCAGTAAGCCCAAAACACTTCAAAACATATATTTCGAAGTGTCCTCTACAAACTGGGAAAATTTAACAAAAAAATTCAAAACTAAAAAATTTCTCTAATTTTTAGCTAAGCGAAAATATTTTCACAACACCTTGAACCAATTTCGCTCAAAGGATGCATTTTCAAGGGACAGTGTGAGTACGAAAGTTGTTCAGAATCAGATCCCCTGGAATAAGAACGAAGGATTTTTCAAAATTCGTTAAACCGGACTTTTAAACTAAATTTTACTAAATTTTAAAATTTTAAATACCGTATTTTTCAATTTAAAAATCGAGTTTAATGAATTTTGAAAAATTCTACGTTCAAATTCCAGGGAGTCTGAGTTTGAACAACTTTCGTACCCGCACTGCTCCTTGAAAATGCTTCCATCGTGCGAAATTTGGTTCAAGGTGTTTTTAAAAATACTTCTTGCTCTGAAATGCCATCGGGCAGGTCAAAGCGGAATAACTCAGTCAAAGCTTGACCGAATCTTTTGTGGATACATCTTGATGTCCTCTGACATCAAAACCGAGGTTATATCTAGAAATCTGAAAATTTTATTAAACTTTTAAAAGTGGAGCAAAAAACAGAGACTAAACTTAAAAAATTATTCTCTGAAAAACTACAGGTCCGGTACCGAAAAAAGTATTGAAATATATACTTCAAAGTGTCCTCTACAAACTGATAGGAAAAACCCAGTGGGCGGACTCCCCTTAACACGATAAACGTTATTCACGGCAGAGATAT